TTAATTACTATATAATACTACCTATTGTAATATTATCTAATCTAAGATTAGTAATAATATCAAATGTACCTAAAATGGATAGAAAAGCAGCGCTCATAAGATTAATACCAACACTACTCTATTTTATTACACCGTCCCATTCGCTCTACGCATTATCATAATAAAACAGTTGATCTTTCGAACGTTTCAAACTAGAAGTAGATAGATCGTCCAGTTTTCTTGTTACCATGTCCTAAATAAAAGTGTCCCATTCCCGCCAGTGTTCCCCCGATTCTTCTTCGTAGCAAGAGAGGCCCTTGGCCCGTTCATAAATAAAATAAATAAAATCAGGCTGAATCGGGCTCCGTTTTTCGTGAGGAATACGGGACACTGAAACACGAAGGAACAGCGACTGAGGGCTGGAGGGACACAGGGCTGGAGGGCACAGGGCCAGAGGGTTAGGGAGAAGGGCGAATTGGAGCAGAAAGGGGATGGCGGTGGATGCCGGGATGCCGGCGAAAAGCTCGCGAGGAAGAGGCCGAATCGGCGTCGTTTTTCGCGAGAAATGCGCGGCGGATGGACAGAGGGATGAGAGGACACAGGGCCAAAGAGCCAGAGGGACAGAGGGTTAAGGAGAGGACAGAAAGTGGGTGGCAGTGGATGCTGCCACGAGAGAGCGAGTCTCGTCTCGTCTTGTCCCATCCCGTCCCGTCGCGTCGCGTCCCGTCGCGTCCCGTCTCGTCTCGTCGTGCCGAGCCGAGTCGAGTCGGAGAGGGTTGTGCTCGGAGGGTTGGCGGGTCGCGGCAGGTTGCTGGCAGCTTGGTGGCAGGTTGGTGGGGTCGCGGAGGGTAGCGAAGAGAAGTCCGGGAGGGGGTGAGCGAGGCGGCCGTGCTCGGGGTGCGGAAGAGTCAGTGCGCGGCGAGGCGCGCCAGCTGCCGCACGTCATGATTCTACCCCAGGTGAGCTACGAAGTTACCCAGAAACACCAGCACGCTCTCTCGACTCGAAACCGGACCGCCGAAATTACTCGTGATCCCACCTACATAAACGTACGCGTGTCGCACGCGAACACCGTACACCTCTCTCTCTCTCTCGTGACTACACAGTACACAGTGGCCGGCTAAAGTGTTCCGAACGAGGCTCCTTCGGTTCCATCGTTATAAAAAAAAAACGAAAGATCGTTCTTATCGTCGGTCGCAAGTTCCATCGGTGTCCCTCGCGGTCCCGCAACGGCGCTTCGCCGCGTTCGATCGTTTCGGTCTCGGTCCATCGATAGCGTTCCAGGCCCTTAATCGTCGAGATTTCATCGGCAGAACAGCTCGTTATTTGATCGGTCTCGGTCGATCGTGTTTGATTAAACTCTCGCTGGTCTTTCAACAGCGTTCCCGCTGTATTGATCTTGGTCGGCCGATCGTGTCCCGTCGAAACCGCATTTTTTTTTGCGCGAGACAATCGAGCTCGATCGCCTCGTCTCGCCTCGCCTCGCCTCGCCTCGATCGTAACTTCGCGCCGATTAAATGACAAATCGAGCGAACCTCCCAGCCCTCGGGCCACTCCGCGTATTTACGCGTACGCGCGCGTACTCGCGCTGCCGCGCGTAGAGGTGTAGGTACGCGAGCGTACGCACACGTAGGTGGGTCGCATACGTGCATGAGAAAACAGTGTCCGACACACTCCGACAAGTTTACCGTCACGTTGCTCCGTTCTCTTTCGACTATCCATCCACCAGCACGAAAACAAGCATGATCATTCCTCGTTTCTCGCTGTCTGTCTCTGTGTCTCTGTTCGTTGGCTTGGCTCGCCGCGCGCCAAGTATCGTCCGTCGGAACGCCGCCGATGGGTGTCCAAGTGTATCTCGGAACGCCGGCACCCATAGATCGGGCCGGTGGCCGAGATCCAGGGCCGCGAGCGTGCCGATCGAGTTCTGGATCGCGCGCGCGAATTCGAGCCGATCGCCGATGATCTATGCTGCTCCACGCTGCCTCCACCATGACGGAGGGCACCTCGCGGCAGCCGAGGAGAGCGCGAAAAAGTGACGAAAAGAAACTCTCTGCTTCCCGCTCGTTCGTTTGACGAGCGTACCGCGTCGCGTGCGCGTGTGAACCGCTACGAATTCGGGCTCGAATGGTGCTGTTCGGGGAAGCCGGTGAACAATTCGATCAACAGGTAAACGCCGCTAATTCGTCGGCCGGAAGAAGACGCCCGTTGCGCCGAGGAGGACCCGACGATTTTATCGGCGCTCGACTGGATTCTGTCGGAAGCCGGGTTCCGGTCGAGAATCGAGCCAGTACGAGGCCGGACGGAGGCACGGAATTCCTCGGGCAGTGAGATAGAGAGAGGGAGAGGAATTCGAGGAATCATCCCGAGGGAACAGGCGACAGCCGACGACGAGCGACAACAGGCCTCGGATCCGAAAGGTGAACGCCGCTCGATGGGTCGCTCTCGATCCCGATGGAATTTAATCGGCCGTGGCGCACTCGCATTTCCAAGTCGTTTGGTTTTCACGGGCCCGAGGACACGGCCTTGGATTATCTCGCCGGTCGAGCGCAGATTCAGCTCTGTGCGTGGAACTTCGGCTCTCGACGGCTTCGGAACCGGGTGGAGCATCGGCGATCAAAACGCCGCCGACGATCGGACTGCCGGGTCTCGGCTCTGGATACGGAGAAAACCGCACGCGAAGTTGATCGCCATCGATTCCGAAAGTTTCGCAGTGATTTCACGTTTCCGTCGATACGCGTCCGACTACGAATTCGCACGAGCCAGCCGACGATGGACGATCACATCCCTCGCACAGTGTCCTCTCTGTCGGCTCCAAAATGGCCTCTCGACGATGTTCGAATCATCCTGCCGTGCCGTAACGTCGATCGACGACCGACCAATTCGTCGCTATGAATTCGGAGAATCTTTTAGGGGGACGCGGGAACACCGGAACATAAAAACCAATCGATTCTCCCGTCGAGTTACTTTTCCGAATAAAAATAGTCGGCAGCTCTCCGTGCGTTATCGCGGTGTGCATCGATTCGTCGTTAATTTCACGCTGTCCCACTTAATAACTGCGAAAAAAAAGACGAGGGTTAATGTCAAAATAACAAAAAATATCCCGGCCGCCTCCCCGATAGGGGAGGATAATTATGCTCCATCGGTTAATGGAACTGTACGGCTGGACGTAGAACGAGCATATGGAACGAGAGAGTTCGAGAAAATTCATTCGAAGCGAACCAGTGGCCACGATAAAACCGTCGACGTTCGTTTCGCCGGACAAGTTGCTTCGATCCCGCGGCGGTTCTCTTACGGTTGCCGACGCTAAAAAGGCGGAGTGCTAACGAAGGAATACGTGAACTGCGTCGACGATTCGATTGGACGTATTTCATTGGATGTATTCTAGAGGAACGGTGGCAGCCAGGAGAGGTTCCGTTCGCGAGCCAATGCCGCAAGTTTCGAATCTTGTCGGCCGTTCCGGTTGCAGGCCCATGCCTTCGGTATAGTTTCGACCCGACAACTCCCGGAAATTGTTCTCGGTTGGATTTCGAGGGCCGGGGGGTGGGAAGTTTGCTCGTCCGGAGTGCTCTTGACGGACGCACGGGCTTCGAGGGCGGCGCTCCAGAGAACTTTTTCCGCTCCTTGTCCCGGGAGCTTTCGGTCGAAGGACTGTATCGACTCGATTCTCGATCCCGGAGGTCCCTGTCAAGAAAACGCCGGCCTACGTAAAGAACAGCCGAATCGATGGTGTGTCCCTCCCTTTCTCGTTTCCAACGGTCGTCCTCTTCGATGCAACTGGTCAACGGGAAAATTGCTCGACTCTTTGTTTCTTCAACGATCCCCCGGAATACTTAACTCTTGTGTCCGTTTGAAAAAGTTACGCCGGAGATTGTTCCTCGCCCCTCCGCGGCCCCCACCGCGTTCCTCCATAATGTATTTCGTTTAACTTCAACTCGATCTGGAGAGACAAACTTCTTCCAGAGCAGCGATCGCCTCGAGGTACTCGGATTTCTCGTAGTTCCTCGGACACTCGACCGGGTCGAGTTCGCAAAGGCGCGAGGAAGAATCGTGTCACGACTTAAATCTCTGATCCGCGCGGAGGAATTAATCAATATCGACGCCGATTTGTTTCGTCGAGTAGAAAGAACTTCTTCGTAGAGTCATCGGTAATTCCAAGATGTCGTAAGAAATGTCCTTTAACACGTTGACTGCCGCGTCACCCGTATTCGGGTGACAGCAAAAGTTCTCATCAGGCCACGTCACCTGTAATTCGGGTGACGCTGATTTGACTACTTACAAAGGATTTCCGAAAATATTTCGACAAATATTCTACAAGAGGTAATGAAACTATTGAATTCTTATAAAAATGGTTTATTAAAAAAATTGCAGTGTATAACATTAAAACATTCTCTGCAAAGTTGAGATTGATTAGGACAGCTTGGACAAAAAGTTGTTTGTTTTTTCAGACATGCTCGTGCCTCTGATCGGTCCATTTCGTATCTTTTATTTGAACTGTAGCTTCCTCGGTATCATCAACATTTCTTTCTTCTTCCATGACCAATTCTCGTAAAATCTCGTCAATAGTATCTTCATAACATTCATTATCACTAAGATTATATTTATCAGTATCCAAATCAGAACCTGACGATGTAATTTTATTTATGCTTCTCCTTCCGGCCAATCCGATCTCTTTTC